TACAACTAGTGCTGAGGTCAAGAATGGTGGAATTATACTTCCACTGCCCCATACATCTTCTTGGAAGCACAAAGTAATCTTTACCTTTTGTACGTTTATGAATGCAATGGTTGCTCATCTCATTGGTTGGTTCTCTTTTGTTCTTTCTGTGTGAGTGTGTGTCATCTTCATACAGGGACGTGCCGTATACTGCCTAATGATGATCAATAATGACAAGTTAGAAGGATATGAAAGGAAGTGGTTGTGGGCTATTTTAAGGCTCTGTCTTCACCCTTGCTTGCCCAGAGACAAAAGTTTATGTGGCATGCATTAAAATTGCATTTAAGGTTTAACTTTTCCATTAGAGTGCACGTGACTTTAAGTGCATACTTGAATGAATGAATGAATGTATGAGGGGTAGGCCTGCTCGGCCCTTGCACCTAAACCTCAATGGTCCATTGTGCTACCCTTTTTTAATTATTCCCTCAGCAACCCCACGCTTCGGATGAAGTGCAGGATTTTGGACGTGGGGGTGTCAAAATAGTCACTTGGTTCCATACAGTACTGACCCAAGTGACGTAATCTTAAATAATCTAAAGCCTCACATTCACACAGGATGTGTGTGGCTGTTTCATTTTCTATCTGACACCTCTCACAAGTGGGACTATCACTTAGTCCCAGTTTGAACAGGTGTCCTTTGAGGTGACAGTGTCCTGTAAGTAGTCCTACCAGCCATCGTAGCTGGTTCCTGTTGAGCTTCAACAGTTCCTTCGCTCTTTTAGCGGAAGGTCCTCGTATGAGTCTCTTTGCTTGCCTGAGTCCAGTTAAGGATTTCCAGTAATTCTTATGTTTTATGTTAGTCCAGTCCCTGATTGCCTGTTTGGCAACTCCTAGAGAGATGCCACAGGCTGGTTCAGGTCCTATGAACGGACGTTCAGCTCCAATTTTAGCTAATTGGTTTGCTGCTTCATTTCCAGCAATACCCTCATGTCCGGCACCCATGCTCGTATCAGTTGTACCCTGTTATGTTTGGCCAGTTCCAAGAGGGTTTGGTGGCAATCCCAGACCAATTTTGAACTAATCTGGTGTTTGTCAAGTGCTTTAAGTGCAGCTTGGCTGTCAGATAGAATGTAGATGTTCCTATTTTTGTAGTTCCTATCTAAATTCTCCATAATACATGCTTTAATGGCATATACTTCTGCCTGTAATACTGTCGCATACAGCCCAAGGCTGAAACTAAGTTTCTGCCTCATGCCATGGCAGTAAACACCAGCTCCAATGCCCTTATTTGTCTTGGAACCATCTGTATACCAGATCAGTCCCCCTTTTCTATTGGGTCGAAACCCGTCCTTCCATTCACTCCTGTCAGGAAATCTTTCCATGAAGGGTTTTTCATATACATGTCTCAGTATTATTTTGTCAGACCCAATTTGTAATATGGGTTCTTTTTTCATGTCCTGAGTCATGTATGCATGGCCAAAATCATCAGATCTAGGTTTCCATTGTCCACTGCACTGGAGACAGTAAATTCCTGCCCTGGCCTCTGCATCCAACTGTACATACAGTGGGGGGAGCCCATGGAGTATCTCTAGTGCAGCTGTTGGAGATGTTCGAAATGCTCCTCTGATACCTAAGCAAGGAAACCTTTTCCAATTTGCTAAGTTCAGTCTTGCTTGTCTTGAATTTAACTCTGGGCCACCATACTATGGCACCATAAGTAATTATGGGTCTCACAACCGCAGTGTATATCCAATGTATAACGTGTGGCTGCAGTCCCCAAGTTTTACCAAACATGCTTCTGCATGTCCAAAAAGCCTTATAGGCTTTGTTAATTACTTTGCCCAGCTGCTTTTTCCATGCCAGTCCCTTGTCTAATTATAGACCAAGGTACTGTCTTATTGAAGAGAGTCGGTTCCTTAAGACCCTTTATATTTCTCTTCATAGTAAACGGTATAATTACCGTCTTATTGGGATTGATGGAAAGACCTGTTCTTTCACACCATCGTTGGACCATGTACAGAGCTGTTTGAAGACGCTCTGATACGGTCGAGAGGAATTTTCCATTTATGAGGATTGCTATGTCATCAGCATATCCTACTGTATAATACCCATCATCATTAAGTCCCCACAGGAGATCGTCGACGACCAGACTCCACAGCAGAGGCGAAAGTACGCCCCCCTACAGACATCCCCTACACGTGGACGCCCCCAGGATTTCTCCTGATAATGTAGCAGCTATGATTCTGCTTTCCAGCATAGCATTGATCCATCTGCATATTGCAGGCTCTATGCCATGCCTTCCAGCAGCCTGTTTGTTCTCTTTCACTAGCAGGTCTCAGGTGTTCAGCCCATTCGAGCCTTTTCACCTTTATGAATCTAATAATATCTGATTCATTAAATAGTTTGTGTAGCTCAAGGTTGTACCTCTTCCTCCATGTCCCATTTTCTTCCACTGGACCAAAAATATATCTGAAGATGCTCATTTCAAAGATACCTAACAGTCTTCCATCTGATCTTGACATTGACCAGGTCTCAGAAGCATACAGCAGCACTGGTCGTACAAATACTTAGTACGTTATCATTTTGGTTTCCTTGGGTACTGACTGAGACTTCAGTTGTTTCTTAAGCCCATGGAGACATCTATTCGCCGAGAGTATACGCTTTCTTATTTCATCACTGACGTCATATTGACAATTAACCTCTGATCCAATGTAAGTGAGGCTATGTACAACCTCAAATTTACATGAACCATTTCTATATGTGCATTTTATTTTGATTAATTTTCAGATGCATCTTTTCCTTCTGCCCTTTCCAAATTAACAGAACCTTCTTTCATAGCTTTTGGTTTTCTTCCAATTATGTGGATGTCACCTGCAAATGCCAAAATTTGAACTGACTTACAAAAGCTACTTCCTCTTATGTCAATGTCTGCGTCTGTAATTACGTTATCCAATGCGAAAGAGAAGGCATGCTAGGGAATCCCCTTGTCGAACTCCGTTTCTAGTAATTGTAAGGCTGACAACTTTTCTGGATCTTACTTTGGCATTGAATGTCTCTCATAGTAGCTCTGACAAAGACAATTAACTTTCGTGTATGGGCATCTCTTTCATTGCCATGAAGATATTGTCGCGTATCGGGCGTATGACGCGACAAATAACTTCACGCCGTATTTTATATAGCGAATTTTATTTCACATTCGCACTTACAATCACCCAAATTACAGATTTACGATTACTGCTATCTGCAGTATCACAAATAGTACATTCCAAATGCCACAATACAACTGACTGGTTGCTGGCTAACTCGGAACTAACTCGGAGGTAGCTCGAGGACTCACTCGGCGGTAGCTCCAGGACTAACTCGTAGGTAGCTGCCTTGAGAACTGACTGTGAATAGCCTTCGCTGCTCCTTATGTAGCCTCGATCGGACAATACGGAAAACGGCCACGTAATAGGCACCCTTGTTGCCTGGCGCTGTGTTGCTAGTAACGCTAGCGGTAGTAACCGCTGTTACTACCGTAACAATCCTGTTGCGTCACCGTTATGTTACCGTGCGGAGGAGGGGGAGGGGAGCGCTGACTCACCCGCCGTGTCACTGCTGGTGGGGGGGTTCTCCTTTGCGCAACATGTCACACTATTATCTGTATCTATCCTGTCATGAACCGATCGGAAGTCAATGAAAAGACAATATGTTCCAAATTCAAATTCATTACATTTTTCGAAGACATGGCACATAGTGAAAATCTGATTGGTGGTTGATCTTACTTCTCGAAATCCACAGTGGTACTCTCCAATTGTTCCTTCCACAAAGGAGGAAAGTCTTTTAAATAAAACGTTTGAAAAAAAAGATACGCAATGCATAACAGACTAATTCCTCTATAGTTAGAGCATACAATGATATCGCCTTTCTTATGTAGACGTTGAAACCGTGCAACCGTTGTCTGTCAGAATTCATATTGGTGAAGGGTGGATATTCAATAAAGGAAGTAAAGTGAAGTTTTAGATTCAAAGCTTCACTCAGTCTTAATGCTGGTACTACTTACTCATGGAGATGAGCCCTTCTGGAGGAGCCGCCAATTCTGCAGCTACTCAAGAATTTCCCAGCATTTTATGGAATCCGAAGGTTCATTACCGTGTTCATAAGAGCCCTCCACTGGTCGTTACTGCCCGTCGAGTATCCCATAACTGCACTGAATAAGACTTCTCTTCCGAGACTAACTCACAATTGACCCAAATCTTCAAAGGCAAATTCAAGTCAAAGTCACATTCCTCTCATTACCACGTGTTTATTACTGTTTGACGGTTACGGTCTTGTTTTTGTGGGACGCCCTCTCTGACGATAAGACGGGCAGGTCTTTTGTATATTCTGCTGGTCCTTGCCAGCGCAGTCATTTTCGGGTCCGAGAACCTTGGGACCCACGACCTATTTTACAGTCTCAGATTGAGACTTCTTCCTCGTCGCCTCCTACGGCTCGCAGGGTCACGGTGTAGGTATTCGATCCAGCCTCCATACTGTTTGGACTAAGCTCTAAACGTTATCCTGCTTATAACACCCTCGGCAAGGACCGCGTAGAAAACACCGTTCACTCTTGTGCTCCAGTCGTTTCCGTGTGAGCGTTTTGTCTGCGAACACGTTATTCAGTAACGGCTGCGTATAATTGTTTATTAAGAATCTGCTTCCTAGCAACGGATGTTGTTTCGTTGTATGTTCAGCGGTCGTTACCCAGTAACGGCTCTACACGCTACACGCTCTATACATGATTAGAGCAGCAGCTTTCCATCTTCAGAATTTAGGCACTGGCATTTCCTTCATATAAGATATAACCGATATTTAGTCGTCTAGAAAAGCAGTGGTATTTGATCTTTTTCGACGCAGTGGTTAAACCACGTCAAATGTAGTGGTTATACTGCCACGGCTTTGTTCATCTTGAAGCAGGCAGTGACCCTCCAGTACCGCTAGTTACCGCTCCGTGACATCACTTAGATCCGGCCTTCAATAATATTTGTACCGTTCTGCTGCAGGCACGCTGCTGTGTGTGTGCATCGTGCTGTGCAACCTGGCTGTGATCAGGGTGCTGTGTCACGTGGGGTGTAGAGGCACCCGCAGGAAACTCCTGGGACGTCGGATCAGCCGGAACTCCAGCCGCACTCGCTCCGTGTCCAGCGGCAGCAGTAACACCGCCGGCGTACTCACCAATGGAGGAGGCGACGTCACTTACTACAACGCCTCAACCCCAGAGGAACTCGCGTTCGCACGCCTCATGGCCGTTCTCTGCGTCGCATTCGTGGTCTGCTGGATGCCACAAATGGTACGTGAAGGTTCTTTCTGCGCATAAGCGATATGATCAATCCTTTTGATGTTACATGAGATTAATGTAGTATAAATTTCTTGTTTTTTTGTACATAATCTCCTTGGTGTCATAAACATGACTCTGATTGATAATGAGCCCGTAATGATTATAATTAATAAATACTCGACAGTCGAGGTTCCATTTACTTATATTTTCAAAAAAGAAGATATTTTAAAGTAGGCACTGAACGAGAATCTCATTTGCAGCATGGGAAGTGCTAATGGATCTGTTTGGTTTAAATTTGACTCAGATGCACCAGTCATTCAGAAATTTAAACAAATCAAATCAAAGCTTAAAAGTTAAGAGTTCATCTATTCAAGATACTCCGTGTCTAAGGGAACACAAAGTTGTATCGCCGTTTTCTCAAAAACCACCATTGAAAATTAATCAAATCTAGTTCAGTTTACACCTCCAAAAAATTGTTCCAAGACCCATTTCAATATCATTCTCGCATATTTGGCTAAAAAAAGCTTATTTTATACTCTCCCCTTATGTTTATTAACATTTTAAGACACTGTGGTTATTTTGATGTGACATGACTACTTCAACATTGCACGTTGCCTGGAAACGGTTCCATAAACAAGCAAGCTATCGTTAGGCAACGGCTCGCCAACGCATCAGCAACAATGAATGAACTGCTGGAATCGGTGTTTTCTACGCAGTCCAGCTAGAGGTTATGTAACGAGGAAAGATCCATGAAAGAAGAAAAATCTTTGTCGTGAATCTTGAGGAGACTGAAGCCAGGAATGACTGTGCTGGCGAAGGCTAGCAGAAATTTAACGACAGATCAACACGGTTATAGTTACTTCTAGTTAGGCGTTATATTAATGTTCGGTAAATCCAGTTACCAATCCAAACCCCGTGTCTAGTGACAATATTGTGACGTGCGGCCTAAAAGCCCAACCTGCGTACCTGCTGGCCGGAGCTTCGCAGGGCGCATGCCCGTGGTAACGAGAAACACGCCGTTACTCTAGAGCTATTGGAGATATATCCGTGGTAACGACACTCTAAACAGACTGTTTACACATGACAAACAGAAATCTTCAAGGAGGTGAATCCTATCCCAGACACCTAGCAGGGATAAAGGAAGAGCTGTTGAGAAACCCTCAGTTCAGGGTTCTGAAGTAAAGGCAGAGCTAAGGAGTGAAGTCGGAGAGAACACAGAAAGTGTGTGACCTGTTATAAATGTATATAATTGTGATACGGACGTCAAAAAATCCTAATCATCAAATCTAAAATCCACAATTATTAGTCACGTGACATGTGACAATATGTAACACCTGCTTTAACATTCGGAAACTCTCAGTTCTGCGGTGAAGGTGAAGCGTAAGCATTAGCGATTAGCCCATTTACCTGAGCAACGCAAACCGACTGCGCATTGCAGCGGGGAAACCGTGTTTTGTGTACTGTGAGAACCTAATCTCTCTCTCTCTCTCTCTCTCTATATATATATATATATACAGGATTTCTCTGGAGTTTATATATATATATATATATACAGGATTTCTCTAGAGTGTGGTGCCATACTTCAGTAGCGCACTGAGAGTTCCCTATAGAACAACTTTGAAATAGGATCCCATGTCCGCAAACGTAATATAGCAGCGCTAGGGCGGCATTTAGTATCATTTTGTTTAAACTTGGCGCCTCAATGTCGAAGAGCATGCACAGGCATATTACCCCCTCCAAACTCTTTAGACTCACCTGCTAGAGTAGATGCTGGAATTGGCGCCCTCCATTTTCAATGCATGCGTTACATCTACGAAAGAAACTTTTGTGCACCCTTTCAAATATTCCAGGTGTCTCACGGGTCCGTCACATGCAACAAGTATTCTGGCCAACAAATCGAATTCATTATCCACAGGCGTGTCGTAGATCAGGCTTTTCACATGGCCCCAGACGAAATAGTCCACAGGTGTCAAGTCTGGGGATCTGGGTGGCCAAGGCACTGGGCCTCCTCTTCCTATCCAACGACCATGAAAAGCAGCATCCAGGTAAGTCGGAAGGATACGTTCCAGGAACACCTTGTAAAAGGGCCCATTGAGTCGCGGTGGTAGGAGGAAAGGCCCAATCAAGTGACCGCCAATGATGCCAGCCCAGACATTGACAGAAAATTGCGTCTGGTGGTAACCAACTATAGTAACATTGGGATTTTCGTCAGCCCAAACGTGGCTGTTTCGACAGTTGAACCAGCCATCCCATGTAAACTGTGCTTCGTCTGTGAAGAACACGTGATTCAGGAAGTTGGGCTGATATAAACACTGGTTCAGTATCCACTGACAGAATTGAACTCGTGGTACGAAGTCAGCTGGACCTACGTCGTGTACTCGCGTTGGATGATACGGATAAAGCTGTTGGTCGTGCACGATCCTCCAAACACTTGATTTTGATGTCCGCACAATCTAGGCAATGGCACGAGTGCTGGTGGATGGCTGTTCCTGTATGCAATGCAGTTGGACATTGAGGGGCCAAGTTTAAACGAAATAATTTTAAATGCCGCCCTAGCGCTGCTATTTTACATTTGCGGACATGGCATCCTATTTCAAAGTTATTCTATGGGGAACCCTCAGTGCGCTCCTGAAGTATGACACCAAACTCCTGGGACACCCTGTATTACTTGGGTGATCTCGCCGTTCGGTTAGTTCTACGTATCTTATATCGTATCGACGTACATCAAACATCTCAATGAGATCTACATTTTGTATCACGTGTCCACTCTAGTGATCGTTAAAATAGACCATACAAACGTAACTGTGAATTGTGTACGTAGTAATCTATGTCAGCCAGAAATTGAAACATTTAAAGGGGTCTAGTATTTATAAGACGTTTTCCAGAAATTTCTTGTTTTCTAGATCAGAGATTTCCAAAGCTGGTTTCGCGACATTCTGGTGTGTCACTTGAAGTCTCGAAAAAATTCACAAATAGTCTTTATTATTTTATTTTATTGCATTTACTTTATTTCTTGTTGCAGTTGGTGTGGCAGGCAAAGCTGGGGGATGCTTTTATTTCTGTACGCAAGCAAAAAAAACAATTTTCGTGGCTTGTAGTCCGCAAGCGAACTATACCGAACGAGCGACCGCCGCTTGTCGGAGAAGTTAGTGCCAAATTTAGAGGATAGAGGGTGTCACTTGGTCAGCGCAATGGCTCCCCACGGCTATTGAATTAAAATTTCCTAGATCGGAGCCGCCATTTCCTTGAAATAGCTCCTCAGTTATCATCACGAGGCTGAGTGGATCCCGTTTCAGACCCACTACTTCTCAGAGTATCTGGTAGTGCCGGAAATCGAACCCGGACCTCTAGATATGTAGCCAGGAACTCTGACCACTAGACCACAGAGGCGGTCTTTGTTTCTGTACACACCGTTAAATTGTATAATAGGAAGTATATCGTGACAGTCGATTTATACTAGGCTGTTTTATCGACCGCATGGTGTTGCCGGCAGCCAGTCGCGACTCATCCCCTTCCTCGCACTCAACCGCTGCTCTCATTGCTGTTTAATTTTAGAATGGTTTGGTGTGTTTCTGCATTGCGAACAGAGGCTGGAACAGTTGGGTTTACAGACTAAGCCTCCCATTCGGATGATTAGTGTTAGTGTGTGTTTACGTACTTGCAGAAGTTGGTTTGCGCGTGTTATCGTTGTTCTTAATACCCGGTTTTGCGCAAACTAGCATACAAGTGTAAGACAAAACCAAAAATTGGTACATTTAATAAAAGAAAAAAAGTTCTGAATGTGAAAATGACGAACGATCGATCGATCGATCAGATGCAGCTCCCGTTGTATCAGTGATGGGACCGTGGGTATTAATGTGAACATAGCATGTTCGCCTTCGTCAAGCTGCAATTGTTGTGTCGTAATAATTGCAATCATTTATTTCGTCACTTTTCCACGAAACACGGCCACATATCATCTATAGATTACTTCTGCAAAATTATAAAAACTAAACGAAAGAAATTTACTGCATTTATGAAGGAAAAGAAATTTAAGGTTTCTAACAAACCTGGTTGTTGAAATAACTGACAAAAGCATGCAACCACATTGTGCACAATAGACCACTGTAGGTCGCGGTGCAAGGGCCGAGGAGGCCCACCCCTTATACATTCATGCAACCACATTCAACTGGCGAGCGAACCATAATTCCAACATGTGTAATAGTGCTAACAGTGTTCCGCTCTGGATATAAGTCCGCATTGAAAATTCCTCCAGATGACAATAAGATCTGTGCACGTACCCAAGGTATGTCTGAAAATATTGAAGGTTATGTAGCAATGTAGACAGAAAAATCGATTGATATGACTTGCGTGGACTTGCGTAGCATTTGTTCAGAAAGGAAAGATTATTGAGCCATGCCTATGTTGCCAAGAAGTTGTAATGAACACAAGAAAAGAAGACACATTTTAAATGATTACACGAAATATGTGAATTTATCGTCGATTAATGCGTTCGAATATGCATAAATGATACATCATCAGTGACAGCGCTTGTGAAAGGTGTGATTCTAACAAAAAACTTAATGGAAAAAATATTAGATACTTATTGTTTTCATTACAGTTAAACTCTGATTGCAAAAAACTTTGAAGATCATTTAAAATCGAATTTGGTGACGACAGTGAAACGGTACATTTCTTTCAGGGCAGGTCCCTTAAATCACGCTGCATCAATGTGAAGAATTTGAGCTAATAACAAAAGAAAAAAGAAACAAAGGAAAATTTATTTTTCCCACTGTTGCACGATGATTGCCCAGGGCCGCTTATTGTACCGCGTGTAAGAGCTGAAACCCCCATTGATGCAGTATTATGAAGAAGAAATACAAATAAATTTGTATTTGCTTCAAAATCAGCTTTGAAGCAAGAAATCGGCCGGCCTCTGTAACATTTTCGAAATTCTAGGCAAAAGAAAGGTCAGTATGCTAGGAAAATGTGAACAGATTTGAACATGGACTGACAAACTTAGAGCACTGAAG